AGACGCGCCTAAAACGAGCTTTTTGTGGTGTTGCAAATTACCAGAGGCTTGTTTTGCAGCGCTTGTCAGGGTGTGCAAACACCTGCCCAACGCGGTACGGCATCTCATTGATACGAGCTTGAATTTGATCCTGAGTAACTGCTTTCCACTCCTGTTGTAGTGCTGCCCTAAGCTCGTCTATAGTGTTAATGTTGTGAAGCTTGCGGCGTACGCGTTCCTTGATAATGTTCTAGATGCCTTCTATTAGGTTAAGATCAGGTGAATTGGCTGGGTGCATAAGACGCTCAACTCCTTTACGGCGACAATATAGTGCTAGCAGCGAGCGCGGATTACAAGTACCGTGGCTAGGATTGTTATCCTCAATAAGGTACTAGTTGTAGCGATCATTGCGGTAGAGCTGGCCGCGTAACTTGTTTAAGCGTGCTTGAAGTTGATGGTACGCAGCAGCGTATACCGGGAGGATCTTGTCAGTATAGTAGCTCGCGCGCATAGAATTGCCTGGCTTTATAACTGCTAGCTGGCGCGCTTTTTCTGCTTCCTATCGCGCCAATCGCTCCTCATACTGCGCTTCAGTTTCAGTTGCTAGGCGCCAGCGTGGGCGAGGAGGTGGCTTAATTGGCTCTACGTCGTCGTACTCGTCGTTGTAGAACGTCAGTTCTTCTGCCTTAGTGTAGTAGTTGATCCAAGCTGCAAAGTGGACGCTATTAGGGCCGCGATCGCGCTGTTCAACGATGTTCTCTAGCGAGTTACGCTGGCCAAGTACGCGCAATATCCACTTATCTAGGAAGTCGTCAAGCGCGCAGTGAGCCTCATCAGTGAATATAAAGCCATTCTAATAGCCCTCGACGCTGCGGTAACGCTTGTTAGTTGTATACAGTACGCGCTGCGTTTGCTGCGGCACTGTGATCTCTTTCTAAGTCGCAGCTTTGAACATGCTAGCGGAGAAACGTATCTTTAGCGAGCGCTGCAGCGTACGCTTGTGAGTGTCTATACTAGCTTGATTCTGCTAAGCTAATAGTCGTTGGCATCGTGACGCTTGGTCTGAGTTGATAAGCTTTGCGAGTGCAGCATCTAGTATTTTGTACAGACAGCCACTGCTAGGAGTGCCGCAGAGCTGAGCTTTTGCAGTTCTCTAGTCGCGACGGCGTAGTACTTGTTCTCTATGTGTGTGCCTCTCAGCTAGCCATCTGTACGCAGTGCGGCGTGGTATATCAACTTAATTGCAGAGGTCTGTAACAGGCACCAAGCCGCGCTAGTTGCGCACATCAAACGCGTCAAAGAAACGCGTCCTTCTTAATAAATCAGCGTAAGGCTTTGTAGGGCGATCAGGAGTGTTTGCGCGAGCAATTTGAATCATTTTTTGTAAAAGTTGGTCAAGATTTGGGTAAGTTATGGCAGTTTCAAAACTACAAGTTTGCAAATTGTGGTATTGATGTTTGCGGGGCTGATTACCTCAGCAAAAGTTGAGCCATTTTTTTTGTCACCCCGGTGACTGCAAGAATTCATGTTCGTAATCCACAATTTAATAAAAAGCTTGTGTGTTCTTGAAGTATTCTTTTTTTAGACTAGGTAGAGTCTCCAAAGTTTCATAGGGGTCGACATGTCTTTGTATGCTAGGACACAAATAATTGCAACACCTGGTGACTTTGCGCATAGATGACGTAACCGTTTACAGTTCCGAACGCGGAAAGTTATCGCCTCTTCCGCGATCGCTCCGCCATACAACTTCAAAGTCTAAATTTCCCTCAGCGCTTTGCTGTCTACATTTCACCAGATCCTAGAACACAACTTTTGTCAGTCTCCAAACATGCGATCAATACGTTCCACCGCCACGCGCAGGTTGCGCATTCTAACGTCCTCGCAATCCTCCATGTCACCATTCCGCACACCACAAGTAGCACCACCATGCATCTTCTGCGCAAACCTCCCACCACCCCACCCACAACCACGACGCTTCCAGTCCACCACCACCACAAAAGAAGAGCCCTTCAAATCCCCCTCCGCTCCCGACCTCGCCGCCTCCCAAACCCACTACTCCTTCTTCCCCAAATCCCTCCCCGCCGGCCCCCCACCACACGCGCCCTTCCCCATCGACCTCTCCGCCCTAAAGCGCGAATTCCTCCAACTCCAAGCCCGCGCACACCCAGACATGCACCCACAATCCGACAAAAAGCGCGCCGAAGCCCTCTCCGCGCGCATAAACGACGCCTACAAGACGCTGCAGCACCCGCTCTCACGGGCGCAATACCTCCTAAGCCTGCGCGGCGTCGAAGTCGCAGAAGACGAGACGGCGAAAGTGGACGATGCGGAATTGTTGATGGAGGTGCTGGAGGCGCGAGAGGCGATTGAGGATGCAGAACGGGAAGAGGATTTGGTGGCGTTGAGGGAGGGGAATGAGGGGAGGATTAGGATTAGTGAGGGGGTGCTTGAGGAGGCGTTTCAGAGGGATGATGTGGAGCGGGCGAAGAGCGAGACTGTGAAGTTGAGGTATTGGGTTAATATCAAGGAGAGTATTGATGGGTGGGAGAGGGGGAAACCGGTTGTGCTGAATCATTGAGGCTTTGGTAGGATACACTATGACATGGAACTGGGGTTTGGTTAGATAGTGACTTGAATGCTGATGTGATGAGAAGCTGGTCTCTCTCTGCCCTATTTAATATTTGACTGTGATCTATACTAAATATTACCTTCTGGAGTGAGTGGGCTGGGGGTAATTCGACTTGAGTGAGTAGGTAGATGTGGCGAACAAGGTACATAAGATAATAGTATGTTTATTGGTCAATAGTTTTTGGTTGTGGATTGCCACTGGATGTATGAGTTCCGTGTGTGCTTGCCATCCACTTCCGTGAGCGGACGTGGTTGTAGAGTGACTTGTAGCCTTACTCTTTCCCAGGCTCTTGTCCACACTTCGCTCCACTCCCACACTCCCTACGCCTCTGAGCTAAGTCCAAGTAGCCGTTATCCAAGATTGAGCGCTGTGCGGCCCATGTTGGAAGGAATATCCTTTCCATAGATTCCACCAATGTTATGTAGAGGCCAACGCTACTGCAATGACCTTACCCTTGAAGTTTTGGACGTCTCATTTCCCATCATACCCATCAGCTCTACGAATCTGCTCCTCAAACTCTTTCAGCAGCCGCTCCGTAGCCTCGAAGTTCTTCTTCATATACACTGCATTCTCTCTGATCCGCCTAAGAGGTTCCTCATGCGGGCTGCCAGCCTCGGGCTGATGGTCTTTGTGCCGGGCAACGGCCTCATCAAGGACGCCTAGCAATTGCTTTTGCCGCGTCCAGTTGAGCCGCATATGGTCCGCAGCTAGTTGTGGGCTATGGCGATCGGTCCAGTTCGCTGGAAGTTCGGGTTGTAGTTCCTGTGCGATCAACAACCGATCTTGCCCGCCCCCTTCTTTCTGTCCTATCTGATCGAGACGCTTCCTCGCATCGGCAATGTGGTAAGCAAAGATCGCATCGCGCGATGTAAAGTCGCTGGCCACGCTATTTAGGAGTTGGAGCCCCCGTCGAAGGACATCTTTCTCCTCGTCCTCGTCTACAAGGTTGTAGAACTCACGCTCTTTCTTCACCAGATGTTGCCAAACGTACTGAGCTTCGGTCGCCGTCGCTTTCCTGGCCTTATGAAGGCGCTCGAGCCAATTCTGCAAAGCACCCGCATCACGGTTCTCCAAGCTGTCTCTATATTCGCGGTACCCATCTTCAAGGTCGGGGCCGTTCAACTCTTCTCTGCTGAACTCGATGTGCATGAGCGTGTATTGGTCCTTCTCTTGCTGAAAAAGACTTCCATGCCCGGGCCCTGGACCTTGTAGTCCCCCAGGACCCATAATGCCCATCTCAGATCCCGAACCATTTGACAAGGGATTGAGGTTGCGTTTGATGAATGAAGATGTGAAGAAAGTGAGCGCAATCCTGCCAAACCGAGAGAGCGACTCCTGCGCTCTTTCATCTTGTTTCAGCCGCTCGTACTGCACTTTCCGGTTTCGCGCCCTTGCCTTGTCCATCTCGATTCTGATGTTGTCGGGGAGATGCACAAGTGTGAGTTCGCCGTAGACGCCACCAATGGCACACCCCATGGTGGCCATGCCGAGGAATCGCCTCCACCCCGACATCCCCGGAAGCATGTGAGGGCTGAGCGAGAGCAATGTACCAAGGACACCGCCGCAGGCCACCGTGTCATCGACCGTCCAATGTTTTGTTCTTTCCCACCATTTTCCAGGCTTTGGCGCAACGTTGTCTAGCTTGAACACCGCCCTGTTCACCTCACGCTGTCCATATGACTCGCAGGGTACTAAGGAAAGTTGAGCGGCACTAAGGTAGGCGGTGGTTTTGAGGAGGGTGCCAGGTCGTGATTTGCCTATGAGGGCAAGCACGGCTGTTGTGGCGACGGCGACTGTGGTGCTCACCAGCGGAATGAATACAAGATTGCGATTGGCGGGAAGCGGGTCAGGATACCGTGGTTCGAGTGAGTGCTGTCCCTCACCTGTGCATAGTTAGTACAGCGTGGTGTTTAGTGTCGCGAGACTGACCCTCTGGTACGAAAAGGCGCACCATGTTATCTTACGACTGCGTGGCATGTACTTTCAATCGGCAGCAGTGGCGCATTGTATCCCTAATTAGGCTGCGGTTGACTGAATGTGTGGGCGAGAAGCTGTAAAACAGTGTTGAGCTTTGGACGCGCTCATGTCGACGAAGCTCGGTCCAGTAAAGTAGCGTATGCGCCGCCACAAATACCGGGAGTCCGCATTAGAGTGGCGACTGGTCCTCTGAAGTGATATAAGACGAAGACCGCTGTAGAGAGCTGTAGAGAGTCGATTGATGTTGAGCAATCAGTCATCAATGCGCTTCGCGGTACTGTCACATGCCAGCGAAGCAGCTACCCCACCATGCACGACCAATCATCTCTCTGCGCACCACCCGTCCCAGAGTGATGATAGTTTACCAAGTGTATTAGATCAATATTTTCCAATTCTTCCATCAACAGTAAATCACGGTCTTGTGGTCTAGTGGTATGATTGTAAGAAATAACGTATATACTCCCCTCAACACTTCACTAACAATGCACCAGCTCGCTTAGGGTTTACCCGAGCATTGCTTGCGAGAGGCCCCGCGTTCGAGTCGCGGCAAGACCCTTTTTTTGCCGACCTCATCTCCATGAGGTTGGCAGGTGGACTCGTTTTTGCACCTTCAACCTCCAATCATTTGAGCTTGCATGAGAAGAATTCCCACGGTATGGCCCGCTGCCGTTGGCCTTTCTTTTTCTAACTTTGAGGTTCCTGATCTACTGCCACGCGCAATCCTCTCTCCCGGGAGGATCACTGGAGATCTTCATGACTACATTAGTCACGTCGCGTGTCGCTCTAGCCACCAGTAACAGCGCCGTAACTTCCTTCCTGTGTAAGACCTGCTCCGCGTAGCATTGCGGGCGGCAAGGCCGACACCCCACACCAGAAGCACGTCGCGATGCAGATCAATATAGCTTATCCGGCCGGCGCTTTTCAGATCGTCCCTTATCTTAATTTCGAGCCTCCCCATCTCCAGCAAGGCAGGTGTCCTGCGACTGGCGGACGGCGATGGGACGAAAGGAGAAGGTGGTGGCTAGTGCCTATTTCATACCTGGCCAATGGCGGGCCAACGCGATGGTGACTGGTCCCTGGACCAGCACGACACTTGCATCACCTGCCATTCATCTGGAGATGCCGGATTCGGCTGGTGGCAAGTGCAAAGCAAACAGGAGAGTGTATCTAGGTAATTGTATAACTACTTGCTTGTACCTGCGGTGAACGCCTTACCTCCACACCTCACACACACATTCTTTCTCACAATCATGAAGTACTCTCTCGTTGCAGCTCTACTCTTCCAGAGCACAGTCGTGCTGGGAGACCTCTTTCCCATTCATTTCAGAGCACCCACTGCCGCACATTTCCTAGACATTGTCCGCAACGACACATTCGACTTTGGTTGCAGACCCATTGCACACCCCACAGACGATGGACACTTCACGCTCCATGCGCTTCTCACCGAGGAGCAGATTGCTCACGTCCAGCATGAGTACCAGTACGCCTCAGAGATCTCCATCCACAGGGAAGTAGACAAGAGACAAGAGCGAGCAACCGCCCCCATTGGAACAGGAGACCGCTTCAAGGCCGGCACCGTCTCACCTGTCGGTCTTGGAACACAAGCTACCGGTGCAACCATCGCCAGCATCATGAACGTCGCCGAGATCAACTCCGCTACAACAGCTCTGGTCAACAACTTCGGCGTCGGCAGCGTCACCCTCCCATACAAGACCTTCAACGGCGCCACACAAAAGGCCTTCTTCGTAGGTGCCGGAACCGACAAGTCCGCCTACCGTCTCTACCTCAGCGCCGGCGTCCACGCCCGCGAGCGCGGCGGCCCAGACAACCTCATCTACTGGATCTCCGACCTTGTCGCCGCCAACAAAGCCAACACGGGCCTCAAATACGGCTCCAAGAGTTACACGGCCGCGCAAGTAAAATCCGTCCTCGCAGCCGGCATCGTCTTCTTCCCGCTCGTCAACCCCGACGGCGTAACCTACGACCAATCCTCGGGCTCTCTCTGGCGCAAGAACCGCAACACTAAATCCGGCACATCCGGTTCCTCCATCGGCGTAGACATCAACCGCAACTTCGACTTCCTCTGGAACTTCAAAAAGTTCTTCGCCCCCGGCGAAGCGCCCGCATCCACATCGCCCAGCTCCGAAGTCTTCGCGGGCACCGCCGCCGCGTCCGAAAGCGAGACAAAAAACCACGTCAGCGTATACGACTCCTTCCCAAAGCTACGCTGGTTCATGGACATCCACTCCGCCGCCGGCGACATCCTCTACTCCTGGGGCGACGACGAAAACCAATCCACATCCACGACCATGAACTTCCAAAACTCCGCATACGACGGCAAGCGCGGCCCCGTCGGCGACACAGCGTACAAAGAGTACGCGCCCGCCGCCGACGTCACGGCCATCAAGGGAGTGGCGGCCAAAACAGTGGCCGCCATGAGCGCCGTCGGCGGCCGCAGATACCAGGCTATGCAGGCTGTCGGGCTGTATGCAACCAGCGGCGCGACGGACGATTATGCGTATAGTAGACAGTGGGCGAAAGCTGGGGCGAATAAGGTGTATGGGTTTACGATGGAGTTTGGGTATAGTACGAATTTCTACCCGACGGCATCGGAATTCAAGTAAGTTTTCTTCTCTGACGTGTGTGGTGGGGATAGATGCTAATGAGATGTGTAGTCAGAATATTCTGGATACGAATGCGGGGTTTATGGATTGGGCGCTTGCGGCGATTGGGGTTGGGTTGAATTAGATGGCAGATTAAGTAGGAATGGGAGATGGGGAGTATGTATACGACGTTATGAGATATCCATTTTCATCCTATCATACATGACCCTTTTGCTCGTGCTAGTTACTTCCTCGCCCCAGGACTTCCCGAGTTCTGCCGCTGGATGATGCGTCGCAGTGGCGAGCCATTTGAGTTTACCCTGATTGCTGCTGGTCGCCCCTTATCCTCAACTTCTTCTTCTAGGGTCGCCGATGCAGGATTCGTTGACTTGGCCCATATCACCTCCTCGTACATTCTCATTTCGCTCGCAGACCGCAGATTGAATAGGGGTTTGCGCTCCTGGACCTCGGTCGACGTTTGTGCCCATATTTCCTTCTCCTTTTCGCGAATCTCACTGCTGGATCGCAATCTGAACACATATGGTTTCTGCTCTTTTTCTTCTTCGTTTGCCGCTGTATCGTCTCGTTCATCTTGCAGTACTTGCGTCGTGTAAAGATACAATGGCGCCTTGCTGTTCTGCCTTTTCAATATGCGCCTCAGCGGCGTGTCGTTGTACCTCCTTTTGATCTCTTCTAATCTGTTTTTTTCGTCTTTTTCTTCTCTTTGGATTCTTGCTGCTTTTTCGGTTCGGCTTTCGCTGTGGGGGTCGAGATATGCTAACAGCGCAGTTAGCGGGACGTGTGCGAGTTAATAAGATTGAGGGGACGTACGCTTTTCGCCGACACAACTCGTCTGGAATCCTTTTGGCGTAGAGATATGCTTAAAAGCCGTGCACCTGTTATCCCAAAGCGCTACACTTCCTGCTTCCCAGTGGAAGCGCACTGTGTGTTCGTCTGAGGCATTGATATTGTGTTCTAAAAGCTGGAGGAGATTGTCTGGCGTGTTGTCAGCGAGTCTATCCAGGCTTCCTAAAGAGCATTGGGAAATTACCTGATTCTCGTCTACTCAACTGTACAAAACCAGTCACCGCGCCAGGCGTGGCGTTGAGTGCCTTGAGGCCTGTCACTGGGTGCGTTCGGACTGCTGGGTGGACGTTCGATATTGATGGCGTGGGGAAAGAGGCTGGTTCTTTGATTAGTCGTGAACATGAAAGGATGGGATTGAAGGTCTTACGTAGAAGATGTGATGTGTGTTTTGCTTGTAAGTCATCCACGAAACGCTTCATGTGTGCGCTCAGCGCGTCATAGAGACCGTATTGTGAGACCTGGCTGGAGTTAGATAGTTCCGCAAATCTTCGAATGGAGTATGGCATACCCATGATGTGTCTCCGCCAGCCTCGTCCACATTGAGCATTGAGTAGCTGGGTGGTTTGGGCTCCCAACTTCTATCCGAGACCCATTCACTTTTTGTTTGTTGTGCATCATCATCATGCTTGTTAACGTCTTTGGCACTTTTTGTGCTTTGTGTACTACCTCGCTCTTTCAGAATGCCATGCTCTCCAGCAGTCTTTCCGTAGTGTTCAAATATCCGGCTCTGCTGTTCCCTCGAGAGACTCTGGTCCCGAAAAACAACTACACCTCTGTCTGATACCAGAAGTGCAAGCTCATCCAATTGTTGCGAAGTCAAATCCGAGACTTGGACGTTGAACAGCTGTGTTCCAATAGACGTTGCCAGATCGGTGCGGATTGCTTTCTGCAACAGAGATGCTACATCAATGCTAGAACTCTCATCTTCTGATGAGTTCAATGCGACGTCGTCCACAGTTTGCGAAGTCGAGAAGTCCTTGATTCTGACGTGCGACGCCAAACTATCCGTGCTCGAGTACCCTGAATCCGACGACGTCGGTCTGCGCGATCGATGAACCGCCATGTTACTACAGTCCGACTCTTGTCCAATTCCTCCGGCTGGTTCCGCAATATTGTTGGATATTCGTCGCTCAATAACTCCGCGTAATCGCTTCTCGTCCTTGGTTGCAAACGCCTTATGGTACAAAGTCCAAGAGCGCGACAGCATGCCCCAACGTCGAAAGTGAGGAGAGACAGAACATCAGAAATGAGCTACATTTGATAGGACGGCGCCAGGGACACCTAAAAGGAGATGCGGTGCCGGCAGTGAAGGTTCTGGGCAGGTTGGGTTTGATTGGTGGGTTGTGCAGGCATGCCATCGCGCAATCCGTGGCGCTGATGAGACCATCCGATTACTATCCTTGGCAAGCGCGCAGTATGGAGAACAAGAGCTGACTCGGCACACGTTGATGGTATCGCACTCTCGGGTGGTGTTCAGCTCGAAAAGTAGAGGAGAAAATAAAGCTGCTTAGTGACTTGAGGAGAGTTTGCGTTCGGAGTTCTATTGAGGCAACCGGCAAAACGTCCAAGTTACATTTTTGAAGTGGTAGCCTTTGACATACCACAGAAATCTTGACCGCATTGTCACGGTCGGTCGTCGAGATGATGAGCTTACTCTTCGGCGCCATCCATCTCAACATCGCCTTCCTCTCCCTCTTCTACATCTTCTCCTTCTTCCTGTTCGCTCCACCACAATGTGGGACCGAGGCCAGCTTGATTCATCGATCCCTAGATGGATATGAGCAGATTACGTTGTTTTCATAGCCTTCAGTACTCACGATAACCCTCCAAGCAGTACCTCTCTCCTCGATGACGTTTCCTTGTTCGTCCTTCTGGATGATCGTCGGCCTCTGATCAATCCATTCTTCCTGCTCAACTCTGAACAGGACCGGCTCGCCCTTATCAAAGAAGAGCTCTGTCCCATCCGAGTTCCAAATCCACGCGTCCTCCGCTTTCGAATAGCTAGTGTTCTCGAAAAGATTCTGATACGGAACAAAAACTTCGGATGTGAATTCGAGGTCAAGGGTGATGCCTTCCTCGTTACAT